CCATACACGTCTATTACCGGGCAATTTGGTACTGACGAACAAGTCATTCTCTGTACAGACGGGTTGCTTCCATTTGCTACTTGCTACCGCCTCCGCGAACAGCAGAAGCTTTCGACCTTTTGTTGCGTAACGTATCCGAAATGCCTTCTGTAGGTTCAGTTGGGGTCGACGAGTCAACAGGTGCTTTCATCTACTTGACTAAGTTGGTCCTCTTCCAGTTTATTTACGTATGTATTGTGTAGATGGGATGAACGCATGCAGCTTGTTGTCTGCCGTAAAGCAGTGTGAATTTCTGTTAGCTTGAGTTTTAAAATCCGACGGTAAGAGATCATGTACCCAATGAAATCCAACCACATTTATGTTCAAGTAAATATGATTGTGGGTGTGAGACCGGTCGTTGCTGAACCTTTAAGTTATTCACGTTTGAATCATAAAATTATTCTTCACTTTTCGTTTCTATAGGATCCAGTATTATAAACACCACATGGTTACCCAGTATTTTAAAGACAGTCTTCAGATACCTCTGTCTATGTTTCCACATTGTACTGGTCAACATTGGAAGCATTATTCTGAATCCAATCTTCAGCGTTATCACATTTAAATTTCCATCACTCGCGCAGGTACTCACTGTGACTAGGACCGTGAATATGTGCTGCTGTTTGGTTCACACATTAAATGAATTTAACATAGAAACTTTGAAATGACGCCAATTTCCACAAATGTGCTGTTATCTGTTGTTGCAAAGTAGACACAGTTCAGCGACAGTCACAAACAGATTCCGAAACATCATCAAGTGACATTGTTGGTTCCGGCCGACTACTTTTAGATTACGGTTGTTGAACTGGTTTTAGTTTGTATTTATTACCGTACAAATAGAGCCAGCACATCTGCTGCGTATCGCCTACAAAACAAGATGGTTTGAGTAGAAAGTGTTTAATGGTCTGAATCTGAGCAGTTTCGTGGCTGTTCTCATTGATCAACCGTGCACACGCAGTAAATCTCAATCAAGAATTCTTTCATAGAATTGGTTGATGCTGCATTTTGTAGTACTGACCCTTATATTTATACAGTCTATGACACTCTGCCTTGTCAATGTATGAGTCTTCCTGAGATAGTGAGATATAAGCAGTTTCTGAACAGTGTCGGTAAGTACTGTCACTACTGATCTGTTTTCTCCATTGAGTTCGAAAGGAGTGACTACACGTGTACCGTTCATTCTACGATTTCGGCAGATTCTGAATTGAACGACTAACGTTGTAAATTATTTTGCTAAAACACAGTTCAACAACTACTGAGGAGAGGAGATATGGTAACTGCCCTGTTAACTCTAATCGACGGGGCGATCGGGCAACTTGATCATCACTCACAAACGAATGTGGCCGAGGGCCCACATATGATAATTCAGTCATGCTTAATGCGAGGTTAATGACGCAGTGGTCAACACAGTTGCCTCATGAACAGCATGGCCGGAGTTTTAGTTCCGGCGGTGGCAAGGATGTACACTGCTGACTAACTGCTCTAATGAGAACGAAACTCGAGTCTAGTGCTTCCTTTCGGAAGGGGCCGCCTGGAAAGTCTATGAGAACGCGACAGCTGCAGTCAGTTATGGATGATGTTCAGTTTATTTGAAAACCTGAATCACCTCCTGTTCGCCGGATACCTAACGATGCTGTTGGAAGCTTCATCGATGAAGATATTCTCTACGATTCTTGGCCAAACAGGAAGGCTTTCTACTTCCGCGAACATTAATCTTTCGGCGAAGTCGGAGATTTTTATTCCGGGGGGTTAGGTTGCTTCAAAATGAATACCAATCACAGTCAGTCACAGTCCCTTCATTCGGATAAACCTCTCTGCCGGCCCATTCCGTAAGGCAGCACTAGACTCAACTTTCGGTCGGACAATAATGTGCTCTAGTGATGAGCTCTGCTAAGAATAAAACTCGAGTCTAATGCTTCCTCACGAAGCGAGCCGACCGAAACGCTCATCCTAATACAAGGATTGCGATCGAATTTGAATGATGTCCAACTTGAAGTGATTAGAGGGGGATTTCTTGAAGTGGTAACCTCATCCGTTCTCTCCAAACCACATGAAAAATTCCTCGCACTCGATTTCGGTCTTGTTTACTACAGTGGCTAAAGACATCAGACACCGGACTAAAAAGTGGTCTACGCTGGACAACGTACAGCTCAAATTGAAAGTTCTGTTTTCATTGCAGACCTGAAATAATATTAACGACATTCCGTCCAGCAGGTTACATCTAGCACGGTCACAGGCCAAAGTGACCAGTGAAAACCAGTAGCCAGAATGAAATTAGGATGTGACCAAATCAGACATACTGGCTTGTCACCATCCCGAAACATTGCAAAAGAAGATTCAAAATCATTATCTTTAGTGCCAGTTGAAATAACTTCTGGTGTATGACGTGTAACTTCAGTATGACGAGTTTGGGTTAACTCGTCAACACTCAGAAAACGTTTGTTAGGTCGATTGCATTATCAGTCAACAACAGACTTTAGAAGATTGAAAAAATTGTTCTGTGTTGCTTAGTTTGGGCACATCAGATCAAGCAGTACATCTAGTCACGGACATAGTTAAAGGCCTGTTTCCTGTTTCTGGGACAAAAAACATCGATGTGTTCAACTAGTACAAGCATTACTACAATGGCAGGTAAACTCTTCCCCGGTTATGGCAGCACCAGATAACCAACCTCAGCTGACGATAGTGACAGATCTGGTGCGGCTGAGCCGATAACACAACGTGCGCAACGTTTGGTAGGCACATTTTTTGTTATCTCTGAACTCCGCAACATTCATTCGGAATACTTATACTATTGTTCGGTGATCACATTAGATTTAAGGGAACTAACCGTTCAAAAAACAAGCAAGTCCATGATACCGGTCATTTTTACTGTGACCATGGTAGCGTTTGCCGCCAAGAAGAACCCATTGAGGAACAAGTCCAAGTTACGTTGCTCACCCCTGTGATCGAATATAGCACTGACTATAAAGAACGATATGGGCTATTTGATAAACATTCCCAAATATAAACAGCTTAAAAATTGATACACTTTAGTCCGTACCAGTCAATCATTTCCGATATGAGTTATCGATTGCTATTGACGCCTCTCAGCTTAAAGTAGAATAAAGCAGGGAGAGTTAAAAAATACTCACAGTCCTTCAAACTCGGTGCACGTTTTCAAGCTTTAGAAATACTCAAGTTTGTTCTCAACCCCAGCAGAAACAAAAATATGCACGAGATAAAATACGCAAGTTGTCACAACAGACAATTTTTAACCACGGGCATACACTGTTTTACAAGTGATGTCCGACGCTTAAATGAACGGAGGTCGCTCAAATTTCGTACCCACGAATAGCGTCAGTGGTTATTCGTTCACTTTCCTGTGGATGACGTAAAAGGGTTTGATGAAATTTCATCAAACTATTGCTTCTATTCAACTCAAGGAGCTTTGCTTAGGAAAGATTAATTTGACCTCTAACCTAATGGCAGCTGTGTTTTGGCCCAGGCACTATTCTTGTAACGCAGGCTAGATCAGATCTACTGGGGCTTCACCACACACAACAAGTGGGCGTTCATTTATAAAGTAGTCCACACTATATAATGAGTCTTTTCATAACGAACATTTGTCCGGTTTCCGAACTGTTTCTGTTCAAGTATTTGGTTTGCCATTGTGCAGTGAATGCCCAGATCTTAGTTCAGTCATCAAATGTCTTGTTAGGGGTCAAAGATTTCCCGTGAATGAAAAACGACACATAGATTTCATTTACCTGATCAGCATGATGGTTTTGTGCGTCTAGTCATCGACACTGTTCATGTCTACCTGGGAGCTTTCGGCAGTGTGTTTCATTTTGTTTACATCTTAGTTAGTAGTTCTTTCTTGTCGTCGGTCTAAATGTACTTTGATATGAATGGCGTTTAATGATCTGCAGATGTTTAACTAAAAAGCGGATGTTTCGAAGCAGAGTCAGGAGATCATAGTGGTGAAACAAAACAAGTTCTGTGAATCATTGCAGCCAGTGGTTGAATCCTTAGAGGAGAGAAAAATAGCGTGTTTCCAGCTGTTGTAGAATAAAAACGTCACACTTGACTAGTTAGTAGAAGAATCTCGCTGTTCAAGAAAGGTGCCACTTCTTGAGATTGTTGGGATTATTTGTGAATTTCTTACCTTAGGTTGATGGTTGATTTGTTCGGCTGTCCGATGATCTCGATATATAAGTACGAAACGTTGCACTGCCACTCGAGTTGACATCATCAATGAGTGAAAATTTGAGCGTATAGATTAATACTTGACAATGTTTAGTTAACATGTCTTTATATTAGATGTTGACCCAAAAACTTACAATTTGCTGCTTCATACTTTTGACCTTTTGAACTGAAATTTAAACGATTGTCTTCCGTTGCCTTTTCTTTCACAATCTAATTGGTTACCTCTTGTCATTGTCTGAATTCTGATTGATCAGTCACTTCTCCCTTGCTGCTGCACTTTGGTATAATTGGTCACACTTTTCTCCATCTTCAGGGTCCGTCTTGTGAATGCATGTTGGTTCAGCTATGTATTAGTGTTCCGTCATATCCGCTCACAGGTTTCCTCAAATGTTCCCCAGTTTTGGTCCCTAGATTTTGTCAATTTTGTCATGTTTGTCTGTTGCTCTGGTTGATGACTATCAGGTTACCAGAGGCTTCTTTGTGGACGAGACCCAATTGTGAAATGTTAGGGCTTCGGCTGGATTCGGACCAGCGACAGAAACACCATGCCTCAACGCGGCAAGTGCTCTACCAGCTGAGCTACGGAGCCACGCTAGGAGTTCGGAAATTTCATATTTGGACTCGGTTACTCACTCGTCCCATTGTCTCATATGGAATCCATCAAATTATCCACAGGATCGTCTGCCTCGGCAGGATTTCTCGATCAGCTCATACTGGAATCCACCAACGTGGGTGAGTAACCGAGTCCAAATGTGAAATTTCCGAACTCCTGGCGTGGCTTCGTGGCTTAGCTGGTAGAGCACTTGCCCGCGCAGAAACATGGTGTTTCTGTCGCTGGTTCGAATCCAGCCAAAGCCCTGACGTTTCACAATTGGGTCTCATCTAAAATCATAAATCTGTCCAACTACTCATTAGTAAAGGGATTTCTTTGTTTGTTTGGTGTTTACCTGAGTAAGGATTTCTGCATCGCTAACACTGATTGTGACTCATGTTTGGTGCATATCCTTTGATAGCCAAAACGTATTCTTACAGTTCCGTTGACAGCTGTCGTTTGCTTTGACAGACATAATCTTTGTAATGTTTTCAATCTAACTTTCAAGCTAGAAGAACCACCGAACGCAAACAGGTTGCAAATTCACATCGAAGTTTCCACCCACACTAAAGTGGAAAGATTCACAGTTGGTCTGTTTTTGTGAAAAACAAAACATGATTTAGGTTCCCTGCAGAACGCAGATTAAAAATGCTTTTGGTATCAAGCATTTTTTGTCTGCACCAGATGATGACAAAGGTTTTGGTTAAGAAACCACATTTGGGGTTTTACTTGGTGCTTTTTTGTACACGATGTAATCCGGTCAAAATAACCACTGTATACGTGTTCGCATTTTTTAGATCAACATATATGGAGTTGATTCTATGGTGTCAAATTATAGCATTTTGTCGGGTTTTTCGCCTCCATCCTCGCTTCCCCTGTTAACTGTACTGAACTGTACACTCAGGCAGGTGAGACTACCATCCTGTAAAGATAGAAGCGAAAAATTAGGGGAATTTCACCACCGATATGACAACAGATCAAGAAATCTAAGGATAGTCACGTTATGGAGACCTATCACACAGTTAGAATACAGTGATCATTTTAGTATTCACAGATCACATGACTGGATATTTACTCTACCAAGCCTATCAGGTGTTACGGTGTCGCAAAGATATCAGAACACCTCACACTGTTCACAGGGTTGAAGGTAAGTTGACTAGACTAAAGTAACTTGATCAGAATGTACTCTTCGATAACTGCTCGCAGCTTTCACACAATTACAGACTTTTCAGCTGGCCTCTTCAAAGGGAAATACAAGCCTCAAGTTGTGCTTCTGTTTCTCTGTGCGTGTACCAATACCGAGAGTTGAACGTTCTCATGAATATGCTTTGGTGACCTGCGTACTGCTGACATCACATTAAGCAGATGAGAATTATCATGTCAAAACTTTCATTCCCTTTTACCTGTAATTAACGATTACTTAATCCAATCGTCTCAATAGGGGACGCGGTTGCTGTCTGTTAACTCCATTTGTCAATTAGGGCACGATCTCCAACTTGGTGACATTTGCCGAAAAGTTTTAATGTTACTGTGGTGTAGGCTGGGAGTGCACTGATTCAACTTAGGTAGAAATCAGCTTTGATTGCAGTTTGTACCCAAACAGACTTATCGATCAACCTCTTTCAAAAATATGCATTTGATTTTAATTTATCTCTTTTGTTAGAGGTTGATAAACCAAATGCATATCCCTACCACAACTAAGCTTTAAACTCCAATTGGTGTTTTTACAACAGGATAGTGAACTGACCATTGCACCAATGATTCCATATTATGTAAAACTGAATCATCACATCTAAACGCTCAACCATGGGTTGTTATTAGTACTGTGGGACGTCTTGATCGCCTACAATAAGATGTAGTAAGTGTACTGTTAAACTGATTTTGATTCAAGTTCCAAATATTTATAAAGGACAATCCAACATAACAAAATATTCGGTTAGACACCAACACTGGTGGACACCGCAGTTGTCTCAAAGTCTGAGACGATTCTGCTGATAGGCTGTGTTTATTTTCTGGTAAGGAAGGTGACAGGTCATCGATCTGTTCGTTGAGTTAGGAGTCTACATCAACGGCGACGTGATATAGAAAACGGAAGAGATGCTTATATCTCCAAACTAGTTAAAGCGTTTGCCACTCTAACATCTATTAATAGAGAGGCCTTACTCTCAAGCTTAGAAGAGGGGCATGTTTACGGCTAACACGAAGGCGGTGTGTATCTTTGTCTACGAAACATACCAGCATATATGTGGACGCTGATATGATTTCCGGTTATTCGGCCACTGACACCCACGCTGAGCAGTGCACATCGATTGAAATTAACCGGTAAATAACATTGACGTCAGAAAACATATATGTTGAGGACGTTCATTTAAGTGCGCTCGCTGAGTCCTTCAGAATGCACGAACGTCCGTAGTTGGGACACATACAAGTCATATGTTAAGCGGAATCAATGACTGAAACGTCTATACCTGTTCGCCTCAGTTTTCAGCGTAACGAGAACACTATACAGTGAAGAGTACTGAAATCCGCAATGAAGGTGTCCTATGATTGTCTTTTTACTCTCGCTTTCATCGCCTTCATTGTCATAGTTTTGGACGTTTGGTTTTGTTGCATTAAACTTCATCTCATCTGTTCACTATTTTCCTAATCAGGGGCAACATTTGTTTCCTACGGCTAAATAACAGAGTAACACTCGCGTAATTCACTGATTTATTGATGCTATTGTTGCTAGGGGTGATGGCAATGATCTGATGTATAAAAAGTAGCCTGTCTAGTTCTAAACAAGTATCCGTAACTTACCATGGTTACCGTAACCAGTAACGAGTTAAAATGGTGAAGCCTTGTGTTGTATATGAACGATCTAGTCTGTTCATCAACTGTTCCTACAAAACAAGTGATTTTAATGTCGGATCTAGAGCATCTTTTCTTGGTAAGTAACTTTCAATAAAAGAGATACTTTCTGTCATAATCTTGTCTAGTTTCACACAAGGGGCACTAGTTTAAGTAGTTTGCAGTAGCCAATTCAATGGAATTAAACATTGTACATATATTTTACCGGCGGCACTTTTTATGCGTATAGCACCGGACAATCGGGTGGATCATTACTGACCGGGAAAATACATACCATCAAATGACTAGTGAGTAGTCGGAGATTTAGTTAACTTGATATCCATTCAGAGAAACTTTCCCAGTTGACCTCTTCCGGAAAAGAGCATTAAATTCGAGTTTCCCTCTCATTAGAGCAGCTCGTCGGTTGTGCACATCCTTGCCACGGTCGGAACTAAAAATCCGGCCACGCTGTTCATGAGGAGGCCGTGTTGACCACTGCGTCACTGATCTCACTTTAGGAACAACCGAATTATCACTTCTTAACACACAATAACTTTCGCTTATGAGCAATGATCAGGTCATCCGAACGTCTCGAGGGCAGACGAAATAACTGTCCTGTTAAATTCAACCGATGACCCCTCGATTAGGTTTATTAGTTAAATTGAAATCACAGAAATCACTGACTTGTTGAGCGGTGTTTTGATTACTGGTAAGCAGTAGGGGTTTTGGGTTTCTTTTAAACGGAAAACCAAAACAAAACTATATACTGCTGACGAGTTTTACTATGAGCGAAACTACAGTCATGTGCTTTTTTTCGGAAGCACTAGACTGGCGTTTTGCTCTCATTCGGTCGTACCTAACGTGAGATCAGTGGCTCAGTGGTCAACACGGTCGCCTCATGAAAATTATGGCCGGATTTCTAGTCCCGGCAGTGGCGATGATATGCACTACTGACAAGATACTCTAGTGAGAGTGAAGCTCGAGTCTATTGCCTCCTTTCGGAAGGGACCGACTGGGAAGTCTATGGGGATGCGACAACTGCGATCAACTGTGGGTGATATTCAATCAGTATGAAAGCCAAAGTTCCCTATTATTCATCGGTACTTATTAGAAACTAAGGCCATCAAAAGTTTAATTTCAAAAGTGTCTACTTTGCTATTTCATTAACCTCAAACTTAAGCTATAAATTATGCAAAACCGTATGTCAGAATCGACACGTTCTGTAATCAGAAGAAGTTCCAGTGACTTTGAAGTATATCTGGATTGTCTGTTGTTGGATGAGTTAAAGAATTCAAAAATATTGATTCACACTGCACATGGTTTACTAGAAGACCCTCATAATCGTCTGTGCGCTGTATGTGACTGCGATTATTATTAATCCAATTCGCTCGTTCGTAACATTGACGTCAAACTAAATCAAACTTTTTGCTAAATCTTATGTTGGCTGTTGGTTGCTTAATCGCCCTATATGACTCTGCGCAACGACGTTACTTAGCATTATGTTAGACTAATTACATTTTAGCAGTGATGTACTTTGAATTATTCGTGCCTCTGTTTTACGTCTGGTTTCTAACTATCTATGCTGGGGATTGTAGACCTAATGTGTGTACAAACTAGACACAGTAATTGATCATCACAATGCGCGGTGTATTTTCGAAATCATCAGAAACGATACTGAAAATGATATACGTTTGGACGTAATGTTAACGAACGGAGGAACCAGCAGTTCTGTTGCGTTTCAGTTGAATATGAGCATGCAAGCAAATCGTCGGATGCCTATTTAGCTGACTTCAGTTCATAGTTGCCTTTGAAAAGCACAGTTAATTTTCCTATCTGGTAACGGCATAAAAACAGCAAGAGAAACTGTGGAAATCTTCTGGTAATTACTGGGCTCTAGCAAGTATTCTGAACAATTTCGGTGAGTGTGCTGTATGAGATGCAACACAGTATCATACGCCTACACGAAGCACGTGATAATGGTGACACTTAGCCTAAGTCTACTGGAAGTTACTGAGTATAGTTAGTCAGTCTACTCATAGGCAATCCCGCATATTAGCATATTGCTTTACATTGACCAGTAGTTTAGTGTCCACGTAATTCGTCAATTTAAAAAGTGATCTTGGTTTTCTCAGTAGAAAAATTAGTGGGACCGCATGCCAAGTTGGTTGCTTTTGTTGTAGAAGTTTACAACGCCGCCAATTTCAAAATTTCCAGCTGATTATGTGAATACATTTTTAAATAGAGTCTGCAAATCCTCGTGAGCCCCAGTTAGAATCGGATAGGGATTGAAAATACTGTAGTAAATAACTACGCAACGATATTCAGAACAAAAATAAAAGTTTACTGTTAACGTTTGTCACTCGATCAATAAGCACCTTCGGCTAACATCCTGTGGTTACTACTGGAGTTCAGGTAGAATCTGATAGAGGGCTAAACG